TACGAAATACTCGAATGCTGAAACAAAGAGACAAATAGAATGATAGAAATAAAATCTGGAAGAAGAAAAATAATTAGAACCTGAAAGAAGAAATTATTGTTAAATTATTTAAGAGAATGGACAATGGCCACTGAATAGCCATTGATCTAGCCAACGATGATATATAAATAAATCAACGACGAAGCATTCGAATATTGTACAAAATACTCGAATGCACAAACAATGAAAATTAGAATAAAGGAAATAGAATCTGAAAGAAGAAATATAATTAAAACCTGAAACAAAAAATAATTAGTACCTGAAAGAAAGAATTATTGTTAGATTATTTAAGAGAATGGACAATGGCTACTGAATAGCCATTGATCTAGCCAACGATGATATACAAATAAACCAACGACGAAGCATTCGAATATTGTACAAATATACTCGAATGCACAAACAATGAAAGCTAGAATAAAAGAAATAGAATCTGAAAGAAGAATGACAATTAAAGCCTGAAACAGAAAAGAAAAATATTAACGCGAACCTTCCGAAGTCGAAGAGACAACTGGCTCGAGCCTGCATGCGGGCCCCTTATATAGCGGCGGCCGAACGAAGATCGGCGAAAATTTCCGAACTTCACCGATTCCTTTTAAAGTTACTTTTCCGCTATAATAACTAATAATTTATTAACTTTTTTTACTTTTATCGTTAATATACGTTACAAGCTATTTGTTACCAATGATTTTAATTTGTTATTAACAATAGATTTATTAATTTATTAACTTCCTGTATGTCATGAATACATTTTAACACAAATACGTTGTTTATTTAAGTAGTGGCTGATAATTTATTAACTTTCCTTATTTGTATCGTTAATATACGTTGCAAAATATTTGTTATTAACAATAAATGTAGCAATTTATTAACTTTTTGCTAATTATAGATACATTTTCACGCAAATACGTTATATATACTAGTAATAGCCTATAATTTAGTCATTTTTCCACTTGTATTATAAATTTAGGTTGTGACCAATTGGTTGTTAGAAATAAGTGTAATAATTTTTACACTTTTGAAAATTATAGGTACATTTAAACATTAGTATGATATTGTTCTAGTAATAACCAATGAATTAATTCTTTTCTTGTATTATAAATTTACACTATGAACAATTTATTATTAATATCAAATTGGATTATTTATACATTTTTATGAACTATAACTGTATTTGAATGACATCATTGCCAAGAATTCCATCCACTTACCTCTCGCAGCCCCAAAAATCGTCAAATGTCTAACTGAAACATCGAAAATTTACAAGATAGGAAATATTTTAAACTTTGTGCGTAGCTCTTAGCTTGGTATGGTTTTCCAAAAATTATTCTTTGGAAAACGATACCAATTACCAGGTCGCACCACGAGGAGGTGGCTACGCATGGAGACCCGACATGCGCCCTAGTGGCGCAGCCTGCTGGCGCTACCTTTAAGTATTTAAGAACGATCGCGATTATCGCGAGAACAATTATGTTCTATTTGGTAAACGAGAGGGACAAGGTAGGAGAAATATGAAATGTATATATTCGCTCCAAGTTAGGTAGCTTACCTTTGTACAGATAGCGCGCACATGATACTTAGTCTAGGAATCTACCTTAGGACTACTTAGGTCTACGTAGTCCTACGTAATGGCGTATTACGCAAAGGCTAGAATGATTAGAAAAATTAAATGGGACTATATTTTTTAACAACTTTATATCGAAAAGTCATTCACATTAACGTATCGAATAACGAAATTGTTTCAAATTACAAATGATTCAGAGAAATTTGTTATAATTTTGCGATTAGTATAAAAAATGAGATCTATTGGACGATGATTTTGATATCGATTATGCATGACCACGTCTCTGACAAAGTTAGACGTGAGAACAATAGTTGCGTGGCGGCAAAATCCCATTTACGGATTTCCGATATATATTTCATCGTCCTGTCAACATTAAACATCATCCTAATACTGTTTCTGGATTGTTTCGTCTTCAGTAAAGCCTACGGAATACGCTACTGTATAGCAAATTCATGTTAGACAAAGAACTTTTTGTAAAAATGCAAGAACATTCGTAGAAAGTACGCTCTGACGTCTATTTCTAAAAATTGATAACCAATTATAATTATTCAAAAGCGCAAATAATTATAATTATGGACATTGACAGACTGGGGATACTCTCTCCTAACTTGTCAAACAACAATAAACCTCCTAACATTCTTAATTTTTATTTAATTCTTTATTTCAATAAAAATCCATGCGTTTTTAGAACTCACATTTTTCCGAAACTGAGGACGAAAGAGCAATTGTGCTTACGGATTCATTTTTCGAAAAGTGAACTCTACAGCAATTATTTAATGCATATTACAGCCAAGAGGAAAGGTTCGAATTTATTAAACAACGTTATTAATTTATTAATTGTCCCCTTCCTCCATGAAAAGACTCACAGTAACAGCTTCTTTGTTCCATGCTAAGTTTTCTCACAATGAATCCATCAAGTTATTAATTATCCAATTCATATTTTAGATTTCATTAACAATCTCGAGTCTTTATCCTTATTTCGTTATAATTTATATATTAATTAATTAATTAATTTCCCTTGGCACGAGAAGACTCGAGTGGTCTGGTATCTGGAGATGTTAATATGCATCATCTATCCAGATCCGTATCTAAAATCAATAAAGATCATGCTACTCTACGTGTCCTTGTACTTTATACACTTTATCAGAGAATAGTCCGCACGTGTGCGAAGTTACCGCGGAGCACCTGGTCGATGATGGGTGTTTTCCAAGTTAAACTGCTGCTTAAAAATTGACGGAAGCATGGGTGACCATGGATTCCCGGCAAGTGGCTCGAATCCATTTCCTCTGCCTTCCTCACGAGTACCAAAATGTCGACGTAGGTCCACGCTATCTCGCTACTCTTTGGCCGAGTATTTCTAATGGAAGACGTGCACCCGGTGATCAGTCAGTGGTCAGTAGCCGTGGTCAGTTTCGCTGAAATCGTTCCTGACAACTACCTATCCTCTCTGGACGTCTCTCCGAGACGTGCCATCCGGTTTCATCAGCTTCCGCGGGCTATGTCCACTCTGTGGTCAGTCATTCAGCGGTCACCTAACGAGTTTCTCTAAAATCATCCCTCGCGACTACCTGATTACTGTGTACACTTGCAGTTGCAAGTATTTTCGAGGACACTGCTCGTCCCAAATTAACGGTAGAAAATAATCTATCACGGGATGAGATTCAACTTGGCAATAAGAGAAATAGGGACATGGTAGAATTTCCACGTTCGTTCCAGTAATCCCGCCAATAAATCCTACCAATGCAAGGCATTAAAAAAACGGCGCAATTACAGCAATAAAAAGGGGACAAAACGCGACATCCAGCAAGGGAGTTGCAAGAATTGCGAAAATAAAAAAAGATTAGCTCTATAAATAACGATTTCATTCGAAACGATAAAAATTCCGACAAAAACGGAGCTGAAAATTAAAAAGGTTGCTTTTCTGGGCAATAAAACGTGGTACAGGGATAACAGAAAATGGAATTCGCGTAATAAAAAGCAGGCATTTCTTGGAAGAAATATATATATAAAGCAGCGAGGTATACCGTAAAAAGGGATGGACAGACATGGGGAATGTTATCAATCCGAAGTGAGCGGCAAATTCTAGAATATCCTGGGATCCTGTAGGACGCATGCCAGCAACTTGAGAACAGCAAGTTCGGACTAGGCTGTAGTTGAAACGTAAAGTTACCAAGCGAAAACGCGACTGCACGCGCGAAGTATACTCGAGCAACGGCGTTACGAGTGTATAATTGAACAATTACCTTGAGCAATTACCTTCACCTACATTACGACGATTACGTTACTATTTTCCGCCCACGTCATTGTGGTGAATCGCGATAAATCGGTGTTTAACGCACCGAAATTGCCGCATCCTAAACCCACGCCCTATCAGCCGCTACTTCTTATCGATAAACTACTAATTTCCATGGTAATTGATCGTTGGTGTGAATCATGTTTCGATAGGAATCAACGACTATACACGCATGCCTGTTGATACGAGGAACGGCGCACGTCGTAAAATTCGATCGAGATGCTAGGCATCGAAATCGGAGGATCACCGATTCGTGGGGGTGGTCGCGGTGGTCTGCTATATTCCGACTGGATCGGGGGTAGGTGGGGGTGGCTTCGTAGGTCGCTCATTCTGGCGTGGGTAGAGCAACCTTCGCCAGTAGTATCGCGGTGACGAGCAGACGCGGTTGTCTTCTACCACTCTCGCCGATCTTTCCTCGGTCTCGTCGTTCAGTACCCTAACACGGCCACCCCCGAAACGACTTCCATCAATTGTGAGTAAACTATCGCCGTTCCTCAGCACGCTGCATCCCCGAATGTCCCGCGTTTCGCCCCTTCGTATCGTCGCTTTGTCCCGTTTCCCGCGTTTAATGTGATCAACAGTGGCCGAACGTGGAAATTTCATTGGAAATCAAACGACGAGGAAGTGACACGTTCTCTGTGCACGGTATTCGATTGATATTTTAGACGCGGACAGGTGAAACGGGAATACCTGTCGTTTCATAGGAGAACGAAAGTTCCACGTTCGATCGGTGCAACGGTCGATCAGCTTGCACCGTTTCTTCGACGTTAGTACGCTACGTAAGACGTTTCGATCGGCCGCCAGTGTTCCACGCGACTGGTTTCCCATAAAAAAAGATACACCTGCTTTATTTCCCCAGTGTTCTCAACTGGTTTCATTAATCAGGACTAGTTCCTCGCAGTCCGGTCTAGTCGATGGGAAAATATCGACAGGGTCGTCTCGTCCACTGCGATGGGGGAAAATTTCGCGTGAATCAAGCGGAGACATCGAGGCAGCGTGACGGTATCTAGTATCGCGTTATTGCGTTACACGCGTCCTCGCCACTTAACGTTTTAAGGGCGCACGAAACGCCGCCGGTCTACATCGAACGAATCGACGAACGGATTAACGCGATTAGTTTTAATTACACGCGCGAAATTCCGCCGCTGATGTAACGGACGATCGTCACGCCAGCTCCTGTTAATCCCTTTGTTCGCCACTCAGCGTTGCTTCCTTCGTTCTATTCAAATCGTATGGAAATACGTTACCCTGCATACGCGAATCGTTGTTGTCGTTCCGCCTACGTTGCCCGCGAACAACGTCCGCCTTCGACGACGACGTGCAAATTCAGGGGAAAACGGTCCTTCACGGTGAGTGGGCCACGAAACGCCATCCAATGTCCGTTTATACTCATCGCGTCATGGTGTTGTACAATTAAAAAATTCAAAAACCGGGTCGCTGGTTGCAGAGTCGCGCGGGAATAAATTGTCGTTACAGCGGTTAGTCAACGAAACTCTCATTAGCCGACGAGATAACGCGGCAACTTTGTACGGAAGAAAAATCGAGAATTCCTTTATTAATTCCTCCCTTTTCTTCGTCCTTTTTCACAGGGAAGTTTCGTTACGCGGGACTGAAAATTTCCCATCTCGCATCCAATTTTCCATTCCACGCCGAGCTTATTTTCGCCACTGCTGTCCCACTATTGCCATGATCGTTGAACCTTGATCGCATTGTTCCAACGATATTTTAACGTTCCGGTTATTATCATAATTGAACGCCCCACGGAGAACGACTCTCCGCGACTCATTATCGTGTTTGGCTTCCACGCTTCCGTGACGATCAATATTTGGATCGCGGCGATGATTAAGGCTAGATTAACTCATATTTTTATGCGTCCACCGCCTCGCGTTATCGGATCGCGCACCTTTTACGGCCAATTTCCCGTTTCTTCCCGGCGTTCTGCACCGCTCCCGGTTGCCACGTCCGCGTCGGAGAATCGATGGAAACGCGACACAAAGGTCGGCAAAGAACGTCGACGAATTCCTTGCGACGATTCAATCGAACAAGGCGTCAGAAACTGGCCGGGTTGCCACTCTCGATTAACTTTCCACCGAGCCGTAGCTCGAGAGACTCGCAGAAATCGCGTTATTCGGTAAACGCGCCTGGAGGAATGCTTTCACGCGAGCAAGATCCAAGTAATGCCGCGGGACCTTGTGTAACAATTACGTTTCCAAGAGAAAAGCACCATGCCTATCTTTATTTTTAGCCCACCGTGTTGGTCGCATTAGACGCACGATCTACTGGCAACCAAGAATTACCCTGACGTTCTAATCGGACGTGGATCTGGTGGATCTGCCAGTTAAACGTGCGTTGAACCCCATTATAAATAGGTAGAACGTCTTCGAAGTTGGACGATGCTCATTGGAAAACGATTTAAACGACTGGTTGACATTTGGGAAATCTTGGTGGTTCATTTTTGGGTAAAATAATGTGAATCTTTATGCAAACTAACCGAGGCTAGTTCAAAGTCGCCGAGGAATACAGGGACTTTGAATTACAGCCATTCCTAGTAACATGCAGAAAATCGTTTTTCATAAGCCTAATCTTCGAAGCAGCCGGCACGAAAGCTCGCGATATCGTGACTGCTCGAGCAGGCGATAATTCGGTCCGCGAAACGAATAACATGACCCGGGTGTTTGATTTTCCACAGCGTGATCGATAAAGTTTATCACACCGGCGTGGTAATTTTGTAGCAAGGTAAACAACATTGTTGCCGACACGTGTGCGAGATTGTCGAGAAATAACGTGCAAATCGGTCGATTATCTCGACGGAGATTTCTAGGTAAAATCCCCTCAAGAATCCTCTCAAGAATCCCCTTAAAAATACACGTTGCTCTCGTTTAAAGGAGCCCGTAAGGACCTGCGCCACTAGACCTCGAGGCATTCATTGAAATTCTTTGACGCGAGGCTTTTAATTTTCGTTCTCTCGGTTGGATAATCGAGTCGAGTATCGAGTAGTAACCCGACGTCGTCCATCGTCGCTGACGTATATATACGTGCACCTAAACGTCCATTGCTGCTTTATTCGACTCGTTGCTCTCCCGTTTAATGGCCTCGCGCGTTCCTTAGCCTATCACGACAGCAGCTATATCGAAGATACTATCGTTGGAATATGAGTCGCGTGTTCGTTCTTGCAGCGGCAATAAAAGAAGCCAAGGAATATACCGTTCCGAAGCAGAGACTTTTTATTTTTAATCTCGATGCGAAGCTCCGCGTTTATTAGTCGCTGTTTCGTTATGCGCGGCTTATTCGCGAGGACATTTCGCTGTAACGCGTTATCAGCGGCGTTAACGTTAGCCGGAAAAGAAACGAGTTAAGAGCTTTTCAACATTTAGAAGGTTAATCCGCCGTGGAGAACGCGCAGGGGAATACCTGTCCTTCAGCGTAGTGGAAAAAAGAAAGAGAAGCTTCGTGTCAAAGGAAACAAATAGAGCCTCAACACGAGAAGAATTAAGCGGTCCACGGCCGTAAAGTGACTTGATACGCTCAACCTGGCTGGTTGAAAAGGAAAAAGAAAAAAATGCGAGAAAAAGAAGAACCCTAAACCCTGAGAAGAACGCGATAAACTGGCCTTTGAAGGAGAAGGAGCTTTTCTATACGCGTTTCACGCGAGGATTTCATAGATCATTCGATGGAACGAGAATTACCGGGTGCAGGGAGGAATGCAGAGGACAAAATATGGGGGAAAAGAGGGAAAAGCGGAAAAAAGGATTAAAGGACAAACACTTGACCGGGATTGGAAATGAATGTTTAGCTTTAATTTCTCCTAATTGCGTCGACGCGTTTGTCGGTATTCCTTTAACTCCGTGATCCTTCAGAAGCATTACTTTCGACCTAATTTACCATTCGCGTTGAAACGCGAGAGGCAGATATAAAGGGGAAAATAATAAAAAGAAGATAGTACGATATTTTTACCGGAATTACGAGTCGGTCGTGCGTGAATATTCGCAGCCGTTAATTTTATCGCGAATACGTGACTTTCCTTGTAAGCATCAGAAGACACAAATCATCGAACACCATCTTGATTACTTACTTCGCATCGAACGGGTTCCGTTCCCATTCTTTTTATCCCTCTGTCCACTCGTACTCGTAAAAGCCTCCCTTTATGACCGTAGACTTAAAGGCAACCCTCGAATTACGCGGCCGGTTGTAAAACAGCCCCGCCAGAAGCCGTGCCCCTTCCCGTGAAAGGTATTCGTAAAGTCGAAACTTTTTCAACCCTCTGCGTAGATTGTTTACGCGTTTAATTCGACGAACGCGAATTTTAATACCGTCTCGACTCCACTTGTCCTCGGGACCAACCCCTTTCAACCCCTTTTCAAATCCCTTTCCAACAGCACCCGGATAGACCTTCTTTGTGATCCTCGCGACGTTTGCTATCGAACAAGAATTCTCGCAAATCGCGTGGAATTTCCACCATTCCAGAGATTCCTATAGAATCGTTTGGAAAATTGCAGAGAATCGCGTAGAATTCGAGCGATCGACGCGAAACTTGGAGCACCCCGAACGCGAGGAGCGCCATTCCCGTACCACACCCCTCGCCTCATGACTGATTTCGTTTTAATGTCGCGCCTTAATTGCCGCCATCTAATTGATCTGAACGTTACCTCGTTGTTCGACGGTCCAGTCGCCGATTTCACGAGTCGTTTCTCGCGTGACACTCGAACGTAACTTCGAGGTTGTTCTTCAGCGTGGGGAATCATGAATGATTCATAACTGGCAACTGTCTTCGGCAGCCATTTTCGAGCACTATTCTTCCGAGACGAGCATGGCGGGTGATTAAACGCCCGACCAAGCCAGGTGAAAGGTGGATAGAGAAAGAGGGCGAGACCGAAGGATTTACGGGGCTGTTTCCAGGGTGAATCCATGTTGCGATCTTCCGACCTTTTTCGAACCTTCCTTCCCCTCCGTTGACTTCTGACTGACTGGAGCATTTCACTTTGCCGGAAACCAACCCCGAGGCCTAAACAAGCGTACCGTGGACGAAGATTTATCGAATTCTCGTAGGACGCGATCTCGATAGAGGCCCTATGCAACCCGTGTTATTTACAGGTAAACGTAATATGCCTGTCGCGATCATCAGAGACCTTTTTTCGAACCTTTCTTCCGCCCCGTTGACTCCTGACTGACTGGAGCATTTCACTTCACCGGAAACCAGCCCTGGAGCCTAAACAAGCACACCGTGGCCGGAAATTTATCAGATTTTCGTAAGACGCGATCTCAGTCGAGGCCCTATGCAGCCTGTGTTATTTACAGGGAACGTAGTATGCCTGTGGCAAAAATTTTCCAGCGTACACTCGCGTACGTGCCCCTCGTGTCCACATATTTCACCCTGCGGGACGTGTAATTTACCGGTACAAGACGTCCGTGAGATAGCAGCGTCCAAAACGTAGTCCGATTTTTCTCTATAGCCCTTCGTCTTCGTCTCGTCCA